TGGAAGTAATGTGCCAAACAGGCTCCATAGCCAGGCACCAGGCATTATAAGGATTATGAGTCAGTATTACTTTCATATGCATATGCCTTAGCTCCAGTGAAAGGCTGGGGAATTTTTGGTGCTTGTGGTTTCATGTATAGAGAAGCATCTTGTCACTGGTTTCTTTTGTCTCAGCCAGGACTGTACTAATCATTTATGAGACAATATGAAACTTCTTGGGTTACCACAGCGGCTCTGACTTTGGCACATATGTGGCCTCAGTTAGGCACAAATCCAAAAACTGAATGTGCTTTCATGAATAGAGGGAGATGGTTTTGCTGAGGTTGGAAAATGGTGTGGCTTTGGTCTTAAATCACTTGACACTGTTCGTGGTCTCTGGCTGTCCTGTTTATTCTGCCACATCATCAGCGGGAAGTGAACCATTTTGCCGTTGGCAGCTGAGATAAAGCTCGAGGGATTTTTGGTTATGGGTATTCCAGATGATTGAGAAAATAAAATGCTTTTAGAGACAGCCAAATGGAGTGAGGGGGACAACAGACAGGGAGTCAGAGGCTGAGATGCCCACCTACCTAGTCACTGGTGGGGCTTCAGTTTCCTCATCTGAAAAGTGAGGCTCATCCTACCTTTCTGTTGGCCTCCTGGGGTTGGTTTAGGGAGCAACTGAGATCAAGCGCATGAGCTAGCTTTATAAACCATAAAGTAGCTGCTCAAATCCTTTTCATAATAGCATTCAAAGTGTAAAAAGAAATAAAACCGAATCTTGATGCTAATTTTGGTAGAGGAAGAAAAATACCTTTCAAACTATTAATGGTACAATTTTCAATTGCATCATGTTCCAAAGATTTCTTTGAAAGCTGTTTTTTTAAAATCGGGAAAATATTTCTTCAGCCAACAATGGCATGATTGATGGCAAAGTTCCCTTGCTAGCCACAAAGCCTTTTGAACTTCTGATGCACCAAAACAGGAGTTCTGTGGTTGCCTGTGATCTGGCTCCTCTGACCTGGGGCAGCTCTGATGGCTGAATGCCTCCTGGGGCAGAATCTGGTGAGTTTCCTAGGGCCTGGGGACGCTGACAGGTAAATGGTACAAAGGGAAGAGAGGGGTCATCTACTGGGAAATGAGCAGTATACGGGAGCTCAGGGGAGCCACCAAGCCCTCCCTACTTGTGTCCATCCAGTGCGTAGAGAATGCTGGGAACTGGACCACATCTGCTGGGCCTGTGTTGTCTTTCATATAAGTCCACTGATCTAAATTGGCGGGGGTGGGGGTGGGGGGGACGGACCTTCATTTTTAAGATTTCTTGTGTTTTTCGAAGGTTTTTCAATTAATCATTGCAAACATAATTTGAAATTGAGAATAAAGTACCTACCATCCATTTGAAAATAATAGATGCCAAATCTTTTGCCTTCTAGTTTTGTTGTGTTAAAATGCTTGTTTGAGCCTCTATAAATCATCTAATCGTGTCTCAATATAATTTTTCTTTATAAAATGGGGCTCCCCATGTTGACTGCATAGTGAGAACTTGAGGCTCAACTAATTCAATGTGAGATAGGACAGCTTTGCCAAGCTCACCAGGCATTTTACCTGGACATTCTGATTTTTGGGGGGTGGGGTGGCAATGCTAGGACCAGTTATGTCCAGGAATCTGGAGAAATACAGAGAGAAGTAACTGCCTCAGAAAAAAAGCAAGCAGCATGAAGTTGTAGAGAGTAGCTCAGTCATTTTCCAGCAGTAGATTAGTCACCAGAATTACACTGGAATGTTTTTTCCTGGATATATACCAAAAATGCCAGTCCCCTTTTGTCCCAGACATCATCTGATAACTTCTACTAAAGAAGAGCACTTAACATTTTATTAATCCTCTTTCTGGATTGTCAATTCCACATTCTTCTCTTTTTTCTTCCCCTCACTGGTTGCCTTCTGACTCAGTATAGCTGTCCCAAGGGGCTGCTCATTAAGACATGGAGGGGGGGAAAAATCGAAACTCATGTGTTTCAGTTTGCTACATCTTGATGAGTAGCTAAGAGGTTGGGAATTGTTCCAGTTAGGAAGCTAACCAAGCATCTAACTCTTCCTTCTATTTTTTTTATATAAAGTATTTGAGATGGTTTAAAAGATTATATACAATAAAATAGGCAAGTGCATAATCAAGTAAGAGTCCAGAATATTATGAATTAGAATAAAAAGTTAAGAAAGAAACGGATACATTTTTCTAAGCATAAAGCTTGGACTCTGGTGAACTCCTGCAGGCCCAGTGGGTGGGCTTTCCTGGAGCTGGAAGCCAAGACTGCTACAGAGCACACGGCTCATTAATGATTTCCGCAAATTTATCTCTGTTAAAAGTTGGACCGAGGTTGAGAGTTAAGTGGGTTGACTTGGAATGCGCCTCTACTGTTACCACAGTATTTAGCTAGCCTCTCCCACTGATCTTTTTACATTTTTCCCAGAAAAAGCCACTTGACTGGGCTCAGCACTCACCCCATACCCACACCGGCAGTGAGACTGGTGGCTCACAGCCAGCCTCTCAAAATGCGGGGCCTTCAGGCCTGCATCTGCCCGGTGACCTCTTCCTAACCCTCCTCCCCCCCAGGGTGCAGACTCTGGTTTGCCACCAGCCTCTGCTAATCCAGGCGCTCTCTTGCCAGAGGCTCCTTAAAGGAGAAATGCCTCTCTTTCTGTCTCCCTGGTCCCTTCATCTCCCTCCCTCCCCCACTTTCTGTCTTTATCCCCCTCTGCTCTTTCTCCTTTTGTGTTTCATCCAGCCAGCTTTTCGTGGGCATGTTTGTTGTCCTCTGAGTAGAAAGAGGAACAAGAAATGGTTTGTGCCCTAGAGGAGCTCATCATGGGAGAAGGTACATGAAACAAGTAGCTATGATTTTGTGATAGGTGAGATGTGGGTGTGAACAGGATGGTTTGTTAACCTGGAAGAGGATGTGATCAACCACTGATACATCTTCATGGGGAAGTGAGCTTCAGGTTGGTCCAGAAAATGAGCTGGAGGTGAGCAGACTGGAGAAAGGGCGTGGAGTGTGATGGAGGAAGACATTCTGGGCAGAGGCTTGGAACTGTGACATGACGAGGGCATTGTGTATGGTGCAGAGTCTAAATGGTGGGGAGGAGGAGGACAAAGAGGACTAGGAGGAGGGGGAGGAGGAGGAGGAGGAGGAGGAGGAGGAGGAGGAGGAAGAGGAAGAGGAGGAGGAGATGATGATGGGCCTGGAGAGGTGAACTGTAGAGAGTGAAGCGCCTTTAGAATGTGGACTTTGACCAATAGGCCACCAGAAGTCAGAGGAGGTCTTTGAACAGGGAAGGTTGGCTCGAGCTGCTCCCTCTGGGAGACACTGTGGGGAGATGAACCTGACAAGGCAGAGATGGGAAGGAGCCTAATCAGTGAGCTGTAGAGATGAAGTAGGAAAGAGATGAATTGGCTTAAACTGAACCAGTGACCCGGTGATGGAGAGAAGAGGTAGACCAGATGACTATTTGGGTGTGACAAGAGAAAGAGGAGTGCTTCTATCATATAACTAGGAGGAGATTTGGGACTTGAATCTCCATCATTTGACTCTGAGACCAGTGATCTCTCTTCTGCATTTTGGATGTGAAGTCCCACAACAAAGGTAGGGATGAAACCCAGTATTCTTGAGCTGTTGTTAGGTAATTGGCACCTGCAACGCCATTCCCACATCTCATCTCATTGAATCCTCACAACTTCATGGCAATTATTACCACCCCCACTTTACCGATGAGAAAAAAAATGTGCTCTGGGGGGTTAACTAACTAACCCAAGCTAATGAGTGGAGGGGCTGGAACTTGGCCAGGCCATCCAACTCCTGATCTGACTCTCTTAACTAGTAACCTGACTGTACTATTGTATAAGGACAAATCACAGTGCGTATTAAACTTATTAGATAACAACTATGTTAGCTTTATGGATTTACTAACTTGTTCTCTTCTCTACTTTTAGACAAAGGCTAAAGTAGATAGCTCTCCTGAACCTTTTTTACAAAAATAAGACAAAGGTTCAAAAAATCAATACTTGCCTCTTAGAAGAGAATGAATGAAACTAACAGCTTTAAATATTCTTTGGCCACAGCATTCCTTGGTGCTACTTATAAAACTATGAGACAAGACGTTTCTTATTGGTGGAACTGATATGGCACGTTGCAGAGTCACTAAAGATCTTATTTCTGTTGACAAACTCAGATGATGACTTCTGTTACCCTGGGGCTTTGGTATATTAATTAATTATTAACATGAATATTTCATTCTTTACCTTTGAACCACTGCTGGCTTTCTTTGTATTCATTTCTTGGTTTTCTTTTTATTCTATTTGTGCCTAGGCCCACATTCTCTAGTGGGAGATGCATAACAAATATAATGAAACTTATGGGATGGATTGTGCTGTGCTTATTAGTGTTGCTATATTTTCCAGTTTTTTAAAAAAGCCACAAACATGCTTTTATCCTAGATGACTGCTACTCTGAGAAACTTGGTTGATTCACCCCTAGCAAGAAGTAAGTTGCTGAGCATCGGCGCCCTGGCCCAGCTCTGCAGGGTGATGGGACAGTACATGAGTGACAAGGATGTCTGCACCAATATTGCCAGAATATTCAGGTAGGTAGACTGAGCAACAAGGTAGCCTTACAAAAATGCCAATGCTTGGATTTCAGGTTATCCTTAATATTTGTATGTGTGGCTTGCAAGGAATCCTATTTTTGCTTCTTACTTCACCTAGCAGCAAAGCTAAATCTAATGGCCCAAGTTTAGAATAAATGATTTACTAGTAAATCCATGACTCCATTTCCTACGTACTTCTAATATGATTCTAAACCCATTGATTCTAAGTCACTTTAGTTCTTTGGTGAGTTGTGAGTTATCCTCGTGTCCTTACAAAGCAGACAAAACAAACAAAGATTTCCGGTAGTTTATTGGAGATGAAGAACTATTTCCAAAAACATGGCAAACTTTCCGAGATACTTGGAAACAATGCTTTTGTAATCTTTTAAGGGTTTTAACTCCATAAGGAGATCATTGCTGAGAAAGTCTGATCTGACAACTTGTAATAGAAGTTTTATTTCTGTTGTTTGGCTGAACTTTGGTTCACACATAAACTGGTCGTGTTCGCACTGTACTGCAGAACTGGTGATCACCTGAATCCAGGTTGCCTCAAAGCACGATGTCAAATTTCAGAACCGTCTTTAAAGTATGCATCTATTCTTCCTCCTCACTGCCCTTTGCCGGTGTTTTTACATAATGATCCTTCTCAAGAGACCTGGCCCTTTCTTGAACTCTAGTACTGTGGTGGTTTTCAAAAATAGAAAACTTCCTGAAGACTGAGTTGGTGATTGACCCCAGGTTGGGAATGGGACATCGGACTTGACCTCGTAGCACTGCACTTTCCTGAGCTTTGTTCTGGGCACTTACAACTCCCATTGAGAAGCACTGTACTGGCAATGGTCACGTTATTTTTGTGTATGGTGGCACCTGGGGATCCAATTTCATTTTTCTTCCAGATGAATAGTCAACTGTCCCAGCACCTTTAATCAACGACACCATCTTTTTTTCCCACTGATTTTAAATGTCTAGTCAATCAAACACAAGGTTCCACACACTTGTAGGTCTGTTTCTGCGCATTCATTTGGTCTATTCTCAGACCAGCAGACAGTGTTTTACTATTACAGATTTCATTTGCCTGGCTATAAGATGAATCCATCACTTCTTTTCTCCTTTAAAGTCCAAATTCTTCTCTTCTCTTCCTTATGAATTGGAGAATCAGCCTAAGGTCCATGATAGGACCTTTGGGGTTATTCGCGGACCTACACTGAGTATGTAGAGTAATTGGGGTGGGAGGGGGAAGATTGACATCTTTATGATACTGAGTCTTTCATCCATAAACATTTATGATGTCTTCTTTTCCTTTATATCTTTCAATAACATTTCATAATTTTCTCTGGAAGTATTTTGCACATCTTTTGTTAGATTTATTTCTTCATAACTTTTGCTGTGATTATGAATGTAATCTTTTAAAAAGTTGTTTTCTAATAGGTTGTTGCTGGTATATGTGAATAGTATTGATATTTGATTATTAGGTATCCATGGATCTTGATGAATTTTAGATGTAAGAGTTTATCTATAGATTCTCTTGGAGGATAATGTTTTCCCATTTATTACAACTCTTCTTCCATCTCCCCACCTCTTTCTTCTCAGATTGCTTAGGATGCCCCATACAAAGTTGTGAGAGTGTTTGACCTAGTGCCTTTATCCTGACTTTAAAGGAAATATTTTTATGGTTTTACCAGTTAAAAATAGTATTTGTTGTAGGTTTTTATAGATACCCTTTAGAAGGCTAAGGAAAATTTTTGTCTATGAAGGGCTGTTAAATTTTCTTTTTTTTTTTTTGCTTTTATTTTTTTTTCAGTTGAAATGTACTCTGTTAAATTTTCTTAAATGCTTGTCCTGAATCTATGTTGTGTGGTTTTTCTTTTTTAAAATTTTAATGTTGTAGATTACATTAATAGATTTTTTTCATGTTAAACCATTATATTTTGCTAGGTTTAGTTCACTAACATGTAGTTTAGGATTTTTCATCTATGGTCATGAGTTAAATTGACCTGTACTTTTCATTTGTCATATTGGCCTTATCTGGTTTTCATGTCAGGTTTACACGAACCTCATAAAACAAGGTGGAAAGTATTTGGGGTTTTTTTCTTTTTTAGAAGAATTTGGGGAAATTAAACTTATCTTTTTCTTGAAAAGCTTATAGAACTTGCTTGAGAAGCTATTTTATCCTTGTGTGTATGTGTGAATATTGTTGACTACTGAGTCACTTTCTCTATTGGTCAAGTACCTAACCACATTTCCAATTACTCTTTGTGTCAATTTAAAAAAAAATTTTTTTCCTATGAATTTGTCTATTTTAATCTAAGTTGGCCTTATCTGGTTTTCATGTCAGGTTTACACTAACCTCATAAAACAAGTTGAAAAGTATTTGGGGTTTTTTTTATTTTCTAGAAGAATTTCTGAAAATTAAACTTATTAATTTTCAAGAAAATTAAACTATTCTTGAAAAGCTTATAGAACTTGCTTGAGAAGCTATTTTATCTTTGTGTGTATGTGTGAATATTGTTGACTACTGAGTCACTTTCTGTATTGGTCAAGTACCTAACCACATTTCCAATTACTCTTTGTGTCAATTTAAAAAAAAATTTTTTTCCTATGAATTTGTCTATTTTAATCTAAGTTTTGGGTCAAAGAAACATGAAAATAAAAAAGCACTTAGATACATTACAAATACTACAAAATACTACCACTCAACATTTTTGGGATATTGTCCCAAAGATCCTCTTATCCATCTCTAATTATGTCCTTTTTAATTTATTTTACTTGTTTAACAAATACTTGATAGTGCCTACTACATGCCAGGCAATAGTCTAAGTACTTGCCAACTACTAATTGATTTACTCCTTATAACAACTTTAAAAGATAGAAACTGTAGTTCTTATCCTCATTTTACATGTGGAAATCGAGGCGTAGAGGGGTTTGGTAGCTCTTCCAGGGCCACACAGCTGGTAATTCACAGAGTTGCAGTTCAAACCAGCTAGTCTAGCTCTAGAGGTCATACATTTCACCACTATTTACACTGCCTCTTTATTGTTAATATTGATTTTCATTCCTAATATTATTTATGATGTTTCTCTTTTTTTATCAGTCTTTCCAATTTTTTACCAGTGTTTTGCAGAACCGATAGATTTATTGATCCACCCTACTGCATATTTATTTTCGTTCTTATTACTTCTGTTCTCATCCTTATTCATCCATTTTATCTACTTTCCTTGGGTATATTTTTCTTTTAACTGTTTTAGTTAGAAACTCAATTCTTGTCTTTTCAACCTTTTCAGGCTTTGTTTGCTTTCCTAACTACTGCTTTAGTTACATAACACAACAATGTTAGTTGGTAGTATTTTGTAGTATTTATAGTGTATCTAAGTGCTTTTTTTATTTTCATGTTTCTTTGACCCAAAAGTTACGTGTTTTTAACTTTCCCAAAGTGTGTTTTTAATGGATTTTAAATATTGATTTCTAATTTTATTTCACTGACCAGAGACTATGATCTGTGAGATACCGATTCTCAAAAAATGTACTGAGACTTGTTAATGGCCTGGTACATGGTCAAGTTTTTAAAATAGTAATGATGTTTTACCTATTAATCTATCAATTAATGAGAAATTTGTGAATATCTCCCAATTTGATATAAGTTTGTCAGTATTGCCTTGTTGGTTTTGTTTGTTTGCATGCTTGCTTGCTTTAGAAAATTTGAAGCTATTCTTAAGGATTTTTGTCTTCTGGTTCATGTTGCCTGATATTAGTATACCCCTAACAGCCTAGTGTGCACCCCTAGCATAGTGGTCGGCAAACTCATTAGTCAACAGAGCCAAATATCAACAGTACAACGATTGAAATTTCTTTTGAGAGCCACATTTTTTTAAACTTAAACTATATAGGTAGGTACATTGTTATTAACCTACCTATATAGTTTAAGTACTGTTGAAATTTGGCACCTCCCCTGCGCTGCGGATCCCACAGCCCGCCTGTGCCGTGTCTTCCGTCGCCCGACCGACCGACACCCCCTTCTTCTAACGCCACTTCTTCAAAATAGACTCGCCCAGGCTGAAAACCGACCTCTGCGCATGGGCCACGAAGTTTCAATCGCACTGTACGTGCACGCCCGCACGTGGTATTTTGTGGAAGAGCCACACTCAAGGGGCCAAAGAGCCGTATGTGGCTCACGAGCCACGGTTTGCTGACCACGGCCCTAGCACATTTGCTGCTGGTGGGGTCCCAGGGGATTCACTGATTGGTATCCAACCAGATTTTGTCTAAATTTCCTGGACCATGATTTTGTGGGTTGTGAAAATTTACACTGTATGCATGTGTTACAGGCTTCAGGTCTCTGTTTATCCAAGAACGTTTTTTGTTTCCCCACTCCATGCCCCCAGAGCCTACAGCAGACAGCAAACCTCCCGGGCCTCTCTGGACTGGTGTGCGGACTATTTCTAGACTCTCTTCATGCACTGGGCAATGCTTTGAAGATCTGCATTTAAAGTGACACAATGTGTACTTGAATTTTATAGAAAAACAACGTTTATTTTTATTTTCCCATTTGGCATTTCTGCAGCAAACTTACTCCTTACCGTGACTGCTGTATTGCCTTGGCCAACTATTCCGGATGCTACGCCTTGTTTTTGAATCTGATAAACAAATATCAGAAGAAGCAGGTCAGTTCTTCGTGCATTTATTTCTTCAGTGTGTCTTTGTATCGGTGTATTCATGTAAGCTCATGTTGAATGACTTGATGTTTTAAATGTAAAGGTTTCTGTTAGAAACTTCCATTCGATGTGTAATGGGCTGTCCCCCATGAGGCAAAGAGTTGGGGAGGGAGTAGTTTGAGGCAGAAAAAGCCTCAATAAAATGTCCATGTGGTAGGAGGATTCCTGATTCAGGGAGGGGGTGGGTGGACTACCACAGCTTTGTTCTTCCCCTACATGAGAATCACCATGGAGTGAGGTGCGGGTGCACTGGTTATTTCCAGACCCCACCCCAAGCCTACTGAGTCAGATGGGTGGAGAGGGGCCTGGCCATCTGCTAATCAACAAAAACTATAGGGACTTCTGATGTAAATTGAAGTTTGGGATATCCCTACACTTGGCATACTCTAAAAAGTCGTCTGGCACTGAAATTCTCTATTTCTTTGACCTTATATTTAGAAAACAAAATTTCTACGTAAGTATTTAAAGGAAATAATTTGGTTTTAATGAATTGGGCAAAACCATGTCTAGTTGTTTAAAAAAAGGAAGAATTCGCCCAGCTGGCATGGCTCAGTAGTTGAGCAATGACCTATGAACCAGAAGGTCATGGTTTGATTCCTGGTCAGAGCACATGCCAGGGTTGTGAGCTCGATCCCGGGTAGGGGGTGTTCAGGAGGCAACCTATCAAAGATTCTCTCTCATCATTGATGTTTCTATCCTTCTCTCTCTCTCCCTTCCTCTCTGAAATAAAAAAATAAGGAAGAACTCACAAAGACTTCTCCTTAATAAAAATATAGTACTTAGTACAAATATAAATTTATATTATAAGTTTCTCTCTCTCTCCCTTCCTCTCTCTGAAATAAAAAATAAGGAAGAACTCATAAAGACTTCTCCTTAATAAAACTATAGTACTTAGTATAAATATAAATTTATATTATAAGTTTTTGAATAGTCATTAAATGCAGTCCAATTTTATTCACCTTTATAAATGATCAAAGTAACATCAACTCTTTATTGGAGACATTTTATATACATGGTTAATTTTCAAAATCATATAGTAAATTTCATCAGTTAACAATTAAGTTACGTTTATGCTAAGAATATTTGTTATTATATTCACCATATCAAAGCCACTTCACTACATAATTCCTGTTTGCCACAAATATCATTAAGCATATTTTTACTCAGCCAAGTACAGAACTGGGTAAAAATAATGAAAATGATAAAATTTCTCAGATTTTACACTATTATTAATGATTTGTTAAAAGGTTGCAGGTCTCTTTTTGATTATATGAATGACAGAAAAAAATCTATGCTCTTACTATATCATTACTACATTTTAAAGATGATAAAAGCTTGCTTAAAGGGTTAAGTTTTTATTGTTAAAAACTGATTTTCAAATATGCATTTAAGTTTCTGATTTTGAGTATTTGGCTTACAAAGGCTTTCCCTATGTACTTTATATTTTCTCTAAATTACATGCTGTGAAAGATTTCAAGGTGTAAGAATTTGCCTTGTCAATGAATGAGTTTGACTAATTTACCTTAAAGTATTCACAATCTCCTGTTAATGTAAATGTCCATTAAGCATTTATAATTTTAGATTTTGGTACAATATATTATCAGAACTAAAATCTTTGGACAAGTGAATTAATCCCATGAAAAGCTTAGGCACACCTACTGGTTTCTTTTTTAGGGAAAAAACTAAAATGGTAGAAATGCTAAATACTATAGCATTAAAAGTATTATTTTAGATTATAAAAAAGATTTAGTTGTGGATTTTACATTGTAATTTTTTAAAAAATATATTTTATTGATTTTTCACAGAGAGGAAAGGAGAGGGACAGAGAGTCAGAAATATCGATGAGAGAGAAACATCGATCAGCTGCCTCATGCACACCCCCCACACCGGGGATGTGCCTGCAACCAAGGTACATGCCCTTGGCCGGAATCGAACCTGGGACCTTTCAGTCCACAGGCCGACGCTCTATCCACTGAGCCAAACCGGTTAGGGCTATATTGTAATTTTCTGTTGTGGATTTACTTCATGGTCTTTCATGGTAAATTTATGTTATCATCATTCTTTTTTTGCTCTGGTGTTTTGATCAGACATAACTTAGATGATGGTTACTGGAGAAAACCATTTTGCCTTGCACTAGAATTTTCAAATGTGGATGAACGAAAACACTTGTTTTTAACAGTTTGATTTCAAGTTGTCATAACTTATAAAGAAAGAACACCCATCTGTTGAGTAGTGACAAACAGCCTTATGGCATTACTAATAGATACTATTTGTCTCTCTGATTGTAGCTTAGATGAAAGCCATGTTTAATAAATAGACAGACAAAAATTCTGGTATCTTGCCAATATGAGACACTTGATGTGTCAGTATGGGAAGGGTATGCTTTTTCTGGTTCCAGAGACTAAATGGCTTAAATTCTAATTGGCATAAAATTTACCACACTTCTCACTGAACTACTTTTCACCTTCGTCCAATAGTTATCTGCAAAGCAATATTAGTGTTTAAACGCCATATTTTTCTCTATTGATTTACATTATAGTTTTGTGTTTCTATTAAAATTATTTTGATCCAAAGAACAAAGAGCTATGTTTGGTAACATGCTGTTTATTCAGAACCATCAAGGAAATTCATAAAGTATCCCCTTAATCCCCAAACTTATTTCAGTCATTGTGGTGAAAAGCATATTTAAATGTATTACAAAAGACATTAAAAATAACTTAGCCTCAACTTGATGCTCCAGAGGATCTTTGTCTACACTGGGAGCGCGAGTCTATCCACAAGTTTCTTTAAACGTCTGTGTCTTCTTTCTGTAGATTTCTCTCTCCTCCCTTTCTCTTGGTTGTTACCTCTGCCTTTGGTAATGGTTGCCTGCCTTTGGCAATTACGCATTTGCTTGCAATTACCAGGTGGACATCATAACCACATTTGTTAAAAGTAACACCTAAGAAGTCTGAAATAAGATTGAATACAAATAGACCCTTAGTGAGAAGGGCCTAAGAGACTCTGATGAAATTTCCCTGGTTACTTCTCATCCTCAAAAGCAGGTTTATATTTCAAGATGCACCTCTCACATCCCCTTCTCTGGGAAGCCTTTCAAGACCAGCCACTTCTTCTCTCATCAGTGCCTCGTTTTAAAGACTTTCATGCAGCTAGTACACCCAGCTAGTATACCCGGAGCTAGGATCCAAGCAGTATGTCCGTGATGTTAATAACCACATCACTGTGATTAAGAAAAATTATGCAAAACTTAGAGACAGGGTGTGGCCTGGGAGGCTGCATGTCCGGACAAAGTCATGCTGGGGCGCTGTTCCATCGGCAGGGCTTATTCTTGAGGAGAAGGGGTCTGTGTTTAAACTTGCCATTTAGAGCCCATACACCAGGAAGTTACACATTAACCTGTAGATTTCTCTCTGGTAGACAAGATAACCTCCAAAGTTACGGTTTTATTACCCTGTAGGCCAGCGATTTCCAACCTTTTTCATCTCATGGCACACATACACTAATTACTGAAATTCTGCAGCAACACCAAAAACATATATTTTGCTGATTTGATAATAAAAATAGGTATAGTTTTGATTCATTCACACTGGCTATTGTGTTGGCTGTTGTCATTCTTTTATTTGGCAATCTGAGGAAAAAGAGGTCAGTGCCCCTGACCAAAATAAATAGCCAGGTATGTTGCATGTTTTAAACATTCTTGGGGCACACCTGTTGAAAATCGCTACTGTAGGCTATTAGCCAGGTGTGTATCTAACTGAGTAACCTTATCCCACATGCTTTTTAGTGCTTATAAACAACCAGTTCTTTGATTGTTCTTAGAACCAACTTTATCATTGTATTGGATCCTTCATTGATGAGTTAATTTTTTAAATGTGTTAATTTATATCTGTATAAAGATCATGTTGTTGGCTTTCCTAAATTATACTTTGACTTTATACTGTCTTTTACTTGTTCCAAAGAATGTTACCATTTTGAGCCAGCTTTGTTTTGTTTGTTGGTTTTCTTTGTGCAAGAAATAGATGCATAATTTATATTTTCTTCAAAACCAAACTATTTTAGAAGAGCTGGGAAACTTATTCAGGCTACAAGGAAGTTGGTAGGTGTCCCAACTACTTCCTAATATCATTAACCAAAAGCTCCCATAGGTCTTTATAAATACATATTTCTTTTGTGATTCTGCAAGTGGTTATCACTTGTGTAGCTGCCTCACTCACTAGTGGGAGTTCCTAAAGGACAGAGGCCCTGTCTTGATACACCTGAGATGATGCTTGACATTGTAGGCTCATGATACGTGTTTAAAGAATGAATTTTGAGTATGTAAAATGTGTTGAAGTCTGTAAAGTATCATAAAATATTCCTTATAGTACTCTAGTACTTCTTCCATAAATATTTACTTCTCCTTAGTTTGGAGGAGGAAAACATAACCCCCCCACCCCCCACTTTTCCCATTGGTGGGCTGCCTTACACAACAACAAAATAGAAGTGATGGATTTCAAATTACTTCAGATGAGCACGGCACCTTCACATTCCCCTGGACCAGGTGGCCAGTGGAATACGATTTGATCTTCCCCCTTTTCCTAGAAAGAAAATGTATCTCCAGAACTTCTACACCATGATCTGAGTCTATTCGTCTGTGTGGCTGAAAACTTTGCTGCACCTGAGGTTTACGTGAACAGCTGAGGCTTGGGACTGGCCTTTGAAACAGACATGAGCTCTCCGGCAGCCTTTTAAATAGAATGATCGCTTCCTATAACTATTTTTGTTTCAGCTCCAGGAAACGTTTCTGCAACACTAACTGTGGGTTGCAGACATAAACCTCAGAAGCGTTGTAGTCTCCTAATAGACACAGCTACCACCAAGTGAGGAAACAGTCTCTATACCTTATCTTTGTCCTGAGGGCTCAGCATTGCCCATGGCTTAAAAGCCTGAAGACTACATTTGGAATTGGC